GCTTGTGGTATGATGATATTTATTGTCCTATTTTCAGCCACAATTCCCAGCTCCTAACTCCTCCAGGGCGGGTCATAGAGACTAGAATTTCTCTTCCCCAAGGGAAGCCACAGACACTCCAGACTTCCCTGGGCTTTCTGCGGTGCAGCTGGCCCTAGAGAAATCCTCTGAGCAGCCCCATCCCACCACAGATCGTGAGACCCTCGCTTTCCAGACGGCCCTGCCCCACACCGGCAGGAAGGAAGGCCGCCCAGAGAGGCCGAGAAGAGTCAGGATGGACAGACCTCTCTGGGTTCCCACACTGCCCGCTAGCCCTGGGTCATATTCTGCTTTGTTTGCACATGCGGGGCCATGTGCTCAGCCACTGAGCCACACCCCAGCCAGGTCACATTTGTCCACCCTGCAGTCCTGCCTGTGCAACCTCCGTGCAACCCCCAAAGGACAGGGCTGGGGAGCTGGCGGCTGGCTGAACACATGGGGGTTCCCTGAGGGTGTGGAAGGCACCTCCTCTCCCATCACATCACCCAGGCATCCCTTCACCTGTGTCCCTTGTCATACCCTGTGTAAGGAACCAGGATCAGTCTCTCCAGCAAATTCACGGAAGACAAGGAGGCAACTGTGGGAGCCTGGTCAGATACGCAGGTGCGCCAACATGGTTGCACACACAGACGTGTGCACACACCCACAAACGCACAGACATGCATGCACACCCACAAACACACACCAGCATTCGTAGATACACAGACACACTTCAACAGACACGCTCTTGCAAACAGGACGCAAACACACACAGATACACACTCAGAGCACACACACAGTCACACAGATACACGTGTGCACACACCCATCTAGTTGTACACAGACTCCAGCTCACACTCACAAAACCCACACACAGAGCTATGCTCACAAACACACAGAAAGACACACACTCAGAGTGAGTCCTTCTCCTCTCCCACACGGTGGTCGGGAACACGCGAGCCCAGGTCCCTTGCCTCAGCTTGGTACGTGTGATGTGTAGGCCACAACTATCCCTGGAACAGGACTGATGCCACCTTCATAGGACTTTTGTTGAGGTGGTCCTTGTTTGGCTTCCCACTTTCCTGTCCTGGCTCCCCAACTCTTTACCAGTATCCCGATACCCTCAAAAGGTAAAACACCTCCAAGTTGATGTCATGCCTGTGAAACCACCATGACGCATCTACGGAGGTCTGTGCCCTGCGACTGAGCCCTGAGTCAATCTTGGCAACACAGGGTGGGCAGTGAAGGCCCAGGACAGATGCTGGGTGGCATCCCAACCTCACTGTCCCTGAGGTGACTTTGCTGTGTTCCTAGCTCCCAGCTTCCCTTGAGACAGTGGTAGAGAGAGCATGAGGGGCTCCTCCCTGTCCTGCCTCTGTGAGGGCTCCCTGAGAGATGGACGGGAGAGGCTGTTCTCTGCCCTACCCCATGTGAGGACCCCCTGAGATACTGATGTGAGGGACACCCCCTGTCCTAACTTGTGCGGGGACCCCCTGAAGGACTGACACAAGGGAGACCTCCCAGTCCTAACCTGTGTGAAGACCCCATGAGACACTGATGTGAGGGACCCTTGAGAGACGTTTCTCTGTCCTGTGTGAGGACCCCGAGAGGCGATACGAGGAGCTGTTTTGCGTCCTAATCCGTGTAAGTACTCTCCAAGGGAATTACACTCTAATTTTTTTGTTTGTCCTGTGACCACAGTGTAGAACTAAGAGTGCTGTAAATGCAGTCAGGGACTTTTGTCAGGCTAGACAGAAGTCTCCACGTTTCATTCTTCCAGTTTTCCTTAAAGAAGAAAGCTGCTCCATTCAATGAATAATCAATGTATTTTTTTTTAAAAGTATCTTTATTCCGGCTGAGCACGTGGATTGTTCCTGGAGCAGATGCCACAGGAGGAGTGATCACATAGCATCACAGTCAGACTTCGTGATGACGATGTGTTAATGGAGGCTCATCAGCGGGACAGGTGTACCTCTCTATCCCGAGACGTAAAGAACGGGAGGAAGGAAGGAATTTGGGAACACTTTGTACTTTCCCACCCATTTTTTTAAGCCTAAAGTGCTTAAAAAATTAAGGCCACTAAGAGTTTTTTTAAAGTCATCATTGGAGAATTCTATGGATGCATTTTTCTTTTTTTGGCGACACAAGGGTTTGAACCCAGGGCCTTGCTTGCTAGACTGGTGCTCTGTCTCTCAGCCATACCCCGGCTCTTTTTGCTTTTGTTATCCTTCACATAGGGCCTCACAGTTTTGCCAGGACCGGTCACAGACTGTAATCCTTATACCTATGGACAGGGTTGTGACACCACTCTTGGCCATTGGTTAAGATGGGGTCTCACTAACATTTTGCCCAGGATAGCTTGGAACCACAACCTTCCTGATCTTCACCTCCCAAGCAGGGGCATTACAGATGTGAGCATTTGATCTCCAACACAGAGGGCACCACTGGAAATTCAAGTAATAGATGAGACAGAATTTCTCTTTATAGAAATTTCAGCTACTAAAGGAAGAAATGGAATCTCTGCTTCACGTCACCTGATCAATGGATCTATCTAGGAGATAATCAGCAAACTCCAGATGGAGTGCTGAAACACCGCCCGGAGGGAAGGAGGGAGGGAGCAAGGGACAGGGCCTGGTGGTGACACCTGCCTGTGGTCCCAGCTACAAAGGAGGCAAAATGAGGAGGCTCTTGCTCTGTGGCACAGCCAGCCAAAATGGTGAGAACCTATTTGGTGGAAATGAAAAAGAAACAAAAAACAGAAAACCCTCAGCCTGATGAAGCTGTGTAGATTAAACTACCAACCTGGCCAAGGACTGGTGGCTCACGCTGGTAATTCTAGCTACTTAGGAGGCTGAGACCAGGAGGATCATGGTTCAAAGCCAGCCCTGGCAAAAAAGTTCATGAGACCCCCATCTCTAGAGGAAAAGCTGGGCGCAGTTGCACACACCTGTCATTCTAGCTAGGTAGGGAAGCACAAACAGGAGGCTCACAGTCCAGACCAGCCAGGCATAAAGCGAGACTCTATCTCAAAAGTAACCAATGCAAAAAGGCTGGGTGAGTGACTCAAGTGCCAAGCAAGCATGAGGCCCTGAGTTCAAACCCCGGTGCCACCAAAAATAAATAAATAAATAAAATACCAGCTTAAAGAAAATACAGACGACAAGAGGGCGTGAAGAGGAAGGCAGTGTTGCAGTAAGCAGCGTCCATATGGAGGGAAGCCAACAAAGCCTCTTCCATAATCAAAGATTAAGGGAGATTTATTTACGAGTCAGACCAGCCAGTATCCATGTGCCAACTTTATTGGATCTGGATTCGTACAGAGAAACTCCAACTTCCCAGCTGTGTGATAATTTTTCAAATTTAAACATTGACCGGGTATTTGTGGTTAAAGAATCGTTGACTTTTTATATGTGGTGAAATTGCATACTGTTTTCAGAACGCTTGCAAAGCTGCTTCACGTTGTGTTTGAGGTTCAATGACAAAAGTCTTTGGGGTTTAATTCCACGCACAGGAAGGGGCAGGAGTGTCGGGCTCATTACTCCATTGTTTACTTTTGCAAATGAAAGTTTTCATAGTAAAACGATTTTTAAAATAGCCATCAGTGAACAGTGTGGTTCATGAAACAAAATCGATGCAATGCCTTTTACGGTACAACTGTGTGGGGTTGGTTTTGATCTGTCGATCATACACATGCACTCAGCCCCAGATCCTACTGATTGCACCTGTCAGACACCCTTCTGTCCATCTGCTGCAGGCCACGCTGGGCCTGTGCACGGGGTGTCTGTTTTGGCCCACCTCTAAAACAGCAGATACACCACGCACAACCCAATCCAACCCAAGTCTGATAGCACCAGTCCTTTGCTTGAAATCCACTAACAGCCTCATAGATCATAGGATGCAGGCTAAGTTATAGTCAAGGCCCTGAAGTCTGTCCCGACCCCGTGTGCTCACCGATCCGTCTTGGGCTTCTCTCCCTTGCCTTCCTATTCTCCAGGTACTTCCTGCACCTGCGTCCTGGCTCTTAGCACAGGGCATCTGCTCCTTCTGCCTGGGACGTCCCTTCTCCAACACCACCGCGTCTGTCAGACCTCACCTCAAGTGTCACTTTGCCGGGTAGCTTTCCTATTGTTCTCAGTCTAGTAACTTCGAATATCCCACCTTCATAACAACTTCTCACAACGGGAGTTTAAAAGTTGTCTATCTTTCCTGCTATGATGAGACTTCAAAGACAGAAGGAAATGGGTCTTACTAGTACACCCCCAAGTCTAGTGTTTTTGTCCTGGGAGATTGTCACTAAAGCCTTTACTGAACTGTCAATGGCTAGCTTGATGAACGAAGAAGTAAATGAAGTTTGAAAACGGTCCTGATCAATCGTGAAACAGAATTACTGCACCTTAATTAAAGTCTTACAGGTCAGCGTGAGGGGTGTCAACCCCACTCAAAAGACCTGCAAAGGTTCAGTGTGTGTGCACAGTGAAAGAGGAAGTGAGTGTGGCTTCACTACCGATACAGATGACACACCCTTGCCAGCATTCCACACGTACTGGACCCCACGAGAACGGGGTGTCCTCAACCCAGCACCCGCCGTTCAAGGGAGAGCCACACACACCGCGCTCGCTCACGGACACCCCACACGCTACGCAGACAGGAAAGTGCACGTGGTAAAGACCACACGCCTCAATGTTCGTGTTTCTGTGCAATTCTTCTGACCCGGTTCCATGCAGAGTGCAAACAGTCTCTTAGCTCACAGGAAAGGGGCAGGTGGCTGACCAATTCAAGGAAAGCTTCCACATTTCAGAGATTATAACGTCCCAACTTTTAAAATTAATGAGAAAAAAAAAATTACAAAGTCCCAAGCCAAAATTTTATTTTAAATCATTAGGTTTCCAGTGCGTATAAAACATCCCGTAACACATGGCAGACGAAGCGCTCTGATATGCAATAGAAAATACCGGTGGACAACTCGGAAATCACTAATCTGCTTAGTTTCTTGTGCGCGAATGCAGTTTTGCATTAAGTCTGTTTTGTGATGGAATGTCAAGTAGGTTTAGGATTTTTATATTGTTGCTTAGTAACTTCCTAATAAGGTTTTGGGTTTCCATCTGACCGGAACACAAGATTTTTCTCAAAGTATGAAGTACTGTGGTGACCTTCCCTCTCATCTCTGGTGGGACATATCTGATGTTTAAATATTCTGACAACTTAGACCTGGAGTTATACAGTGTGTTAATGACCGTTTCCATGTCCTTGACTCCATGGTTGGATCGTCCTCCAAAGAACACGTGTGACCTGTGCATCTTCTGTAACCTGTGCTCAGCGGCCGCCGCCAGGGCCAGGCTCCGCTGCAGCTGCTCCCTGGAGGCCTTAATGTCCTCTCGGTATTCGGGGTTGTTGCTGTCACCCAGAGGTCCATGATGCACCTCTGCGCTGATCTCTGAAATTTTCCTCAAAATGTCATCATTGCTCAAAGTGTGTGAGTGGGGCTCCAGTGGCTCCCCAAATCTCGTGGCCAGCTCGCCCGAGAGCTGGGGGACGTCCTCTGAGTCCATCTCGGAGTGCTTGGTTGCCGTGGTGATGTGGGAAGTGGTCCAGGTGTGGGTGACGATTGTGGAAGCCCGGGGGGCTTTGGTCACACTCACGCGGGGCGCTGGCTCGGGCTCGGGCTCGGGCTGGGGCTCCGGCTTGGGTGCTGGTGGCAACTTGGGCGGTGCCTTGGGCTTGGCCACCGGTTCTGGCTCGGGGTCATCCTTCTCAATGTACGGCTCGTCTGCGCGTAAAACCACAGACACGTTGTTGGGCTTGATGGTCCAGAACACAGTGGTGGTGCGTGGGCGCTTCCTCCTCCCCGGCCGCCGCGTGGGCTCTCTGGCGGGGTGGGCCGTGCTCTCCTCGCCGGAAGGACTGGGTAGGGCGTCCTTGCCCAACCCCTCGCCGGGGGTGCTCGCCGCCTCCTCTAGTAATGACCTCACTCCGGCAGAATAAACATGTTTTGGAGACTTTGATTTTTTCTCAAGTTCCCGAGTGGGAACGCTGAGTAGTAGGTTTTCTAAAACTTGTACGTAGCGGTTCAAGTTTTGCTCTTCGTCGGGAGACACAGTAATGCCTTAAGGGGAAAAGACCAAAGCAGCAATGAGTAACCTTGATTAGGTGTGACACAATTTATCACCTATGCCATCACTTAAAAGTTTAAAATAAAGAACCAGAAGGCAAAGCGCTACTGGGCGGAGTCGTTCACACCTGTAAGCCTGGCTACGTGGGAAGTTGAGATTGGGAGGATTGAGATGTGCGACTTGTCCCCGGCAAAAAGTTAGCAAGATCCCACCTACCAATAACTGGGTGGAGGGGCTCACATCTGTCACCCCAGCACAAGGGAGGGGGAGAATGTAAGGTCACGGTTCTAGGACAGCCAAGGCAAAACTAGCTTGAGATACCTGTCTGTTGAGAAATACTAAGCAAAGTTCTTCAGGTCAAAAGCAAGTGACCACAGACCAACTCAAATCCTCATGAAGAAATGAGCAGCATCATCACAGGTAATTATAGAGCACACTATAAAGGCATGTTTCTTCTCCTTTATTCTCTACTGATTTAAAAAGCAAGTGTAGGGGTTGAGGATGCAGCTCAGTGCCCTGGTTTTAATCCCTGTCACTACAGGAAAAAAAAGAAAAAGAAATTGTACAAATAGCATGAACACAATTATATTGTTGGGCCCATAACGTATAAGAATGTGATACAGGTGACAAGGTACAAAAGAGCCAGGAGGGGAATAAAGATGTACTGGAATGGGAAATTATAAAAAAAAAAAAAATAGCTTGAGAGACCCCATCTCAGTGGGAAAGGCTGGGCATGGTGGTGGACACCTGTTATCCTAGCTATGGTGGGAAGTGCAAAATAGGAAGATCACAGAGGCCAGCCTAGGCGAAAGAACAAGACCTTATCTCCAAAAGAGCCAGAGGAAAAGGGCCACAGGTAGGGGCTCAGGTGGTAGAATAGCCGCCTAGCAAGTGTGAGGCCCTGAGTTCAAACCCCAGTACCACCAAAAAACAAGAAGGCAAGAAATTTCAAAAACACGTTTTAAATTCCTGTGTGCATCTCACAGCTCGGTGGGTGTGGAGAAGCTCTCAGTCCCACGTGATTGTCATTGTGTTGACATCGCTGTGTGATCTGCTGAGTGCTTTCCTGCCCTTTGTTTCGTGAACATCTGTCTCCCAAAAGCAAGTGGTGCCCCCAAAGCAAAGGAAGAGTGAAGATGGTTTTGTTTTTTTTTTTTTTGCCGGGGGGGTGGTGGTGGTGCTGGGGATGGTACTAGGGTTTGAACTCAGGACCTCGCACTGAGTTCAGCAGAGCAAGGCAGGCACTCTACTGCTTGAGCCACTCCGCCGGCCCTGTGCGTGGGTGCACTTCATGCAAGTGATAAAGTGACAGCCTGAGATGTACGGGAAGGCAGCATGTCCTTAGCAGGAGTTGGGCAGCACTGTGGGGAAAAGGAACCCAGCATCTGCGTGACAGCCCTGGACGCCTGAGCAGCTGTGGTTCTCCTCCACGGCCGGCTCTCTGGAACCAGATACCCACGGACACCAGGCGTCTGCTGAACAGGGTCAGGGATGCAGCTTGGTGGTAGAGCTCTTGCTGGCAAGCCCAACGGCCCTGGGTTTCCTCCCTAGCAACACCCCCAAAATGCCAATATAGAAATGTCAACCAGTTAGAGGACAAATGAAAAAGAAGCTGCCACTTAGACAACAAAAATGGAACAAAGCATCTCACCATAAATTTTAAAGACACCCCAAAAATCTATACGAGGACTTACAGCAGGCTAAACAGTGAACATTCAAATACATAAGGTGCTGATCCTTAGGACCTGTAAACACTACTCTGCAAAGAAAAAGGTTTTTGCAAACAGGAGTGATGTTGGGGTGGGTTTTAAACCCCATCGGACGTTCTCTGGGGAGAGAAGCACAGCACAAGAGGAGGCGGAAAGGTGGAGGAAAAGGCAGAGACTGGGGGTGTGGCCACAGGCCATGGGGTGCTGGCAGCACGAGGAACTGGGGAGGAATGTGTTCTTTCCTGCCTCGATTTACACTAGTGAGACTGACCTTGGGCCTGGGGCCTCTGGAACTGAGAAAGGGAAGATTTCTATGGTTTTGAACCATTAGGTTTGTGGTGAATTGTTACAGCACCCACAGCAAACCAGTACAAGCAAATGATAAAATATCTCTCAATGTAAACAGCAGCCAATGGAAAGGTTCCACCACTGTCCTCCGGAGAGACCCAGCATCCCTCAGGAAGGTGACTGGACGTCATACTACTTCTGTTACTGTGCACCTGTCATGCGTTCCCGATGAAAACTCACTGAGTTACGAAACCTGACTGTAAAGTTTATAGAAGCCAGGGGCTAGCCCTACCAGGTATTAAAACCAGATACGGAGATGTTACAAGGCCTTTATTATCAGGGCAGTATAGTATTAGCACACGAAGAGACAGATTAACAGAACAGAAGAGAGAAGACAGAAACAGGCATATGAAAAATAGCTCCAGCTCAGGGAAGGATTCAATTTATAAATTATTCTGGCTAGCAAATTTAGAAATCATTTTTTTTTTGGTGGCATTGGGATTTGAACCCAGGGCTTCACACTTGCTAGGCAGGTGATCTACCATGTGAGCCACTCCTTCAGTCCAGGAAATCATTTTTAATCCAATCATTTTGCAATGACTTCCTGTAGTCAATGTCATAAAAAGAGCACACAGTGAGACATGAGGTGCTTCCCGACACAGGAACACAAACTGACCTATTAAGTTCTCTTGCAAAAAAAAAAAAAATAGCCAAACCTGGCTCCAACAGTCCTCTCTAGATCTATTCAGAGACAGCCCAGGATGAAGGGAGGATAGCATGTGACTCAGGAGAGGTAACCTGCAAAATCCAGACTATGGAAATCACAGAACATTCACCTAGTTTCTTCAGCAATCACACCGCGAGCGGAAAAAGAGAGATGGAGTGTAATTAACTGCTTATCAGTAAATTACATGTATCATTCTTACTGAATCCCAGTTGAATGGGATGAACTGGGAAAAGGAGATAAAACAGACAATCAGAAAGGTTTAAGCACGGACCAGACAAGATATTAAAGAATTACGATCTGTCTAGGTGTGAAACTGCACAGTGTCATGCTTTGTTACATCGTTATATTTTGGTGTTTCACACTAAACTAGTTGCTGATAAAATTATAGGACATGTAGAATTTGCTTCTAAATAGCCCAAGGCCAAGAAGTAGGGGCTGGAGTGGGGAGGTAAAGGGAGAAGGAAGGTGGTGGGGACATCAGTGGAACCAGACCAACCAAGAGTCAAAGCTGGTTATATTACAGATTTATGGGGATTTTTAGACCACTTTCTACTTAGGTATATAGTTATATTTGCTGATAATAAAACGGTTTTTTCGTAAATAAAAACAGTTTGGAAGAGAGTTCAACTCTGGGCAACTTAGAAGCAAACAGTTGGGTACGTTCTGTACAAATGTGCAGCCCACAGCGCCTTTAAGAAGAGATGCCATTAGCTTCAAGCTGTGAAGCACTTGATTTTTCAAATAATTTAGCTTGTCTCTTCTCAAAGTACTAAAGAGGATGCCCAGGTTAGTTGTTGGGTAAGTTCAGGCGTCAGAGGGCAGGACGAGAGGCTCTTGCTGGAAGCTGATTTCTGAAAACACTGAGGTACCCATTTATCCTCGTCTGTTGCTTGGCAATGCCAAAACGCCCATTCTTGACTGCCTAGCAACCGCGTGGCCTCCTTCCTACCTTCATTCTCCTCCCTTCTCAATGCAGCCTGCTCTCCACGCTGCTCTATTCTTAAATCCATCCTGTCTCCACGCGCGTCCCACCTCCTGCCTCTGTCTCCCTGAAAACATCTGTGTGTTTCCTGCCCATCCTCTCGGTTCTGCTAAGCAGGTCTGCTCTTGTAACTCAATGTGATCTTTGTAAAAATGTTTGCAGACAAAGGCAGCAGGAAGGAAGCCAGCCTCAACTGTCCTTACACAAGGCCTGTCACCATGAAATTCTGGTTTTCTCCATTCTTCAGGGGAGGTGCCGGACAGCTGAACAAAACTCAGATTCTTACAAAGGACAGATTACCGTGTTCTGGCTGTGTTACCAGACTTGGAATATTTGTGGTCTGCACTGGTGTAATGTCTCCTCTATTTTCTCCAGCTAGAAATCCATGCAAAGGCCACTGTCCCAGAGCAGCTAAGGTCCTCCTGCCCCTGCAGGCAGCAGGTGCCTCTCTCTCTCCAGTGCCCCTTGCAGGCTGGATGGCTGACTGCCCAGTGCACTGGGGTTTGGGGGAGCTCAGATCTGCGGGGGCTGCAGTTTAGCTCCAGTTGCCTCCAATACACGGGGAACTGGTCACAGGAGGGAATACCAGGGAAGTAAAGCCATCAGTACTAACAGCTGTTGGGACAAAAACGCAGGAATCCCCAAATAAGTTGAAGACAGAAGTTAAAAGATCATGAGGCTCTCAGGCTTGAAAAAGAGGAGAAGGGAGACTGAAGAAAGAAACGTGATTTTCCCAGGACAGGATTTGAACACCGGCCTTGCCCTTTAAAGTTCCCCAGTGCTGTCATGAAGAAAGGTCCCAGGCTGCTGGCAAGGCAGGAAGAGTGTGACAAAGCCACACTTTGGTCCTGAGGGACCACCTAGGATTATTAAGTAAAATAAAAGCAGCAAAGTACGTGAAATTTTCCTCACTGTCAACTGGACCAAAATAGTTGAAGATGCTCGTGAGTACTCAGATACGGTAAGTAAATAATAGAAACTTTTCCTCTACTGTACCTTTCATACATTCACACGCATCTAGAAGTGCTGGTGACAATCCAAATACGGTTCCTTACTAAAAACTGTGAGTGGGAACTGACAGCCAGAGGCTTAGAAAAGACACGTTAAAAACTTTTGAGTTTGCCCTGAGGAAAACAATAACATCAGGGCACTGGAGACAAACCCAGTTTCCCAAGTATCATAAATTCAGAAAATTCCACTCACTCGCTTCTTCACTGGCTTTGAGACATTGCACATGTTAAAATGCCATGCTACCAGCAACACCTTGCGTCTTGACTTGGGCACTGG